TAATACATGAGATCCTTTTTATAATAACGAATAAGTTTATAAAATATAAGTTTGTAAAACCGTTTAATGAATTCCCAACTATACCATTTATAGTTTGTATGCTTGTATATGTATAACCATGTATTGAATTCCCAAACTATACCTATTATAGCTTGTATGCTTGTATATGTATAACCATGTATTGAATTCCCAAACTATACCTATTATAGTTTGTATGCTTCTTATGTACTTTGATTTATGTATTGGTCTGAAAAACTACGTAATTACACTTGTAAGTTGAAAACATCCCTTATGCTCAACATGTTACAAAAAGGGATAAAATATCTAAATATTTTATAAAACATTTAAGGTCCTATGTTTGTATCAATTGCATAAGTTTTAAACTCGTTGAAATCTTTTTGTATAAGTTTACAAAAATCATTTGTGTTTAGCTTGTATTTCCCCCCTGAAAACCTTTAAAATAGTAAAAGCATAGGGGTATGAACTCACCTGATTGTGAGTGACTAGGATGAATGACAAAGATAAGGTGCTTGGTATGCTAAGTGAAGTCCCGAGCACAGTACGGACCTATTAAGCATATAATAACATGTATAGGATTACAATTAGTGTCTAAAACCACTAACAAGCATAGGAAACACCCTTAGGATGTAGGAAACACTCACAATGAAGTGTTAGAATCAAGAATGAGGGATAAAAAGGAGTTCACGGTCAACCACCATGGGTTTACGGCCCATGATGTGTTTACGGCCTATGAATATATGAAGGGTTTACGGCCCATGAGGTGTTTACGGTCTATGAAGATTTGAAGGGTTTACGACCCATGAGGTGTTTACGGCCTATGAATATATGAACATTTGAAGGGTTTACGGCGTAAACTCTTCAAGGACATAAAGATGGTGATGAAAGTGATGAATCAAATGAATGAATATGAAGCCTTTTAAATGAATGAGATGAATAAAAACTGATAGGGATGAATTACTTACTTTTGTGGGGTGAAAAGAAGGCTTTTGTTGGATGAAACTTGAGAGAGTCTTGAGGAATTTTCGGCCAGAAAAGTGTAAATGAGGGTAGGAATCACATATTTATAGACTGGGTGCATGGTCGGTGGTGGGGGCCACCTGTCACTAACCGTAAACAGGTTTACGGCCGTGAATGGGTTTACGGCCGTAAATGGGTTTACAGCCGAGAACTCAAGGCCGGTTTTCGATGGTTTTCTAAGTAATTCGGGTTTTCGTGCGATTTTGGTTCCGACTCACATTTAAATTTAATTATATAGTCTAAATGATTTTCCAAATCATAAGAATTTGACGGAACTAAATAAAATTCGAATTTTATTAACGGAATCGGGCTAATATTGACGAAAAAGATTCGGGTTGTCACAACATGTATATGCATAGATGTGTGCATACATATTTTCTAAAGAAAATATTCGAGATTTAAATTTCAGATTGCTAATTCCACACTAAACATTTTTGACACAAAAATTATTATATCAAAATTTCAAGAAATCTCCCGATCTGATTAATAAATACCAAATAACAAGAAAATGCTTCAGATTTTTTATAAATTCTAACAATATGTTAAAGTTTGTAGAAGTGACATATATTAGGATTCAAGGCATAAAAATATATTAATTAGTTGAAAAATATTAATGTTAAACATTTTGGAATTTTAGGGTTAATTTTTTTTTTTGAATTTTTTTTGTAATGATAAAAAAACACATTATCCATTATCTAAACCGGAAATGTCTATTTTGGAGATGGTAATCATTTTAGTTAAAACCAAAAGTTTAGTCTTCCTCTTGTGATCATTTTTGTATTTTTATTTGATTACAGTTATTATTAAGTATTATTCACCCCTAAACATATTCTTGTAACATGTAGACACATAAAAGTTTTTTATTTTACCAAGATGTCCTAAATAATATTTGCACAAACTTTAATGATGACAATTCCAAGTGCATTGACAAACATTATGGGGCATGCACTGTCCCTTAGCGAAAATCCCTCTTCTACTTTTGCAAAAAGTTTCGCATAATAACTATTTACAAAGAATAATATTCCAAGTGGCCTGACACTCTTCACCATTGATCATATCTCTCCCTAAATTATATGTGAGCAGAATAACATTGATTAACAAATCAATTAAGAATCATAAGTAAACAAAAATTTGTAGTTTTAGTAGTAAGTCGACCTAATGACATATAACTTAGCTATTAGTAAAATCTACAATTTTTATTATATATCGTATAATGATTACCAACAATAGAGAGTATGATCACAAGAGCAACATATAGCTTGATGGACACTATACAATGGAAGTATATTGACCAAATGGTTCGAGCATTGAAAATTTATAGGAAGAAGTTAATTGCGTACATATGATGCATTAAAACCTGTGCCATTTAATTCACAATAAATATATTTAGTTGGTTGTTGGTAGCCTCCAATTATTGTTGAAATCTAGAAACAACATTTGATCACATGAACGGATGAACCTATATCAATGAAAGTCAGTCATCCGGTTACGTAAGTTTCAATTACTTGTTTTTGAAAAATCTTTACCATTAGAGTATTCCAATCATGGACATTGAGATTTATTTGAAGATGATGAACTTTATTTCTCTTTGTGACAACGAGATGGAAACAAAGGCTCACATTTTCATTAAATATGTTGTCGTGAGCCTGGTTTGGGTATTTATGTCGGTATAAAAGATTTAACTTTCGCCCAAACCTCTATTTAATATTTCTCGAAAATTGTATTTAAACACAGACAAATTTAGTTCTGCAAAATTCTATAAAAGTAAGTGTATTATATTTGAAATGAATATAATTGCTTAGTTTCATTGTATTGATTTCATTCCCTCAAGTGTATGGGTTGGTGTAAGGTACTAAGATGGAGGTCGGATGGCTCTATAAGAGAAATCTGTATAGTCTAATAGCAGAGTAAAATAACATATCACTTTTTATGTCTAATTTATTATGGATATAAGCTTTGCGTTTTTATTGGCATAAAAGCTCCGCTAATGTAAACTTTTTAAATCATAATGAAAATGCGATCCAGATGATAGTTAAGTTATAATATTAAGGCCATAAGTCAAAATTTTGGATTTTATTGGATATTAGTGATAATATATTAATATTTAGATTTGGATTGTGAAACTAATGTGAAATCTCATAATTCGACTACTTATCACTACAATAAATGAAGGCATTACCAACAATGCTTTTATCTTTAGATTAGATCATTAATTTAGTTTCCATAAATTAAATATACAATAACTATATTAATTTGAAATTTCAAATTTCAAATTTAAATTTCAATATCTAATAATATACAGTTTAAACCTTTGTTCTTAACATTTTGTTAGAATTAACCCGTTTAGAACAAGAGTCTGACAACTAAATACGTAATTTTAGTTTATTGATTTTTTGCAGGTATATTTATTTATTTATTAATTTTTTTCACATAATTTTCACATATTTTAAATTTGAAGTTCAAATAAACTTTCCGTTTACTCCTTCGTATTTAAAATTTTGTTTTAATCGACCCGTATGGTATACGGGTCTTACAATTAGTACGTAAATATGTGCACATGATAATGATAAGAAAAAGACAGTTAATCCAAAATTTGTAAAGAATCAATTCGATTATGGTTGGTGTATTATTTTCTCCACTATTCATTAACTTTAGAAGTTTCACATATTTAATTAGTTATCTATTTATGTTTTTATTTCTATCCTCCTTCGTTATGTTTTAAATACAATGTACATAAAATGTAAATACTAAATTTGGTTTAGATTTAGTTGAAGGAAGAAGGGTAAAGTATATAATGTAATAGGATAGAGTAGGAATAGACCTAACAATCCATGTTCTCATGACATGTATACGGGTCAAACACGAATTTACATGACTTAAATTTGTAAAAAAGTAACAACACACGAATTGTAAATCGTTTTATGGGTATCAAACGTGAAACATGAATTTAAAATTCTGAATTTTGCTAAACTGGTGTCTAAACATTCAGTAAATGTAAAGTTTACCCGCTAAACTTTGAAGAATCTATACATGTATATACACGTTTATATGTGTCGGGTTTCACACGAATTAAATTTGAGTCTTATGTGTTAAAACATATAATCCGTGTTTGACATGAATACACATGAACAAAAATTTCTAAAAATCATACAAGGAGAACTTATGTTGTTATCATGTCGTTTAAGTAGTGTCGTGTATCGAATCGTCATGTCTATGTATGAGATGTGCTTATGTGCACATGCATCGTCTGTACATGCAAATGTATATGCATAGATGTGCACATGTGCTCATTCATATTTTCTGATGAAAAAATATTTCAGATTTAAATTTCAGATTGCTAGTTCCACACTAAACATTTCTGACACAAAAATAATTATATCAAAAATTCAAAAAATCTCCCAAATCTGATTAATAAATACGAAATAACAAGAAAATGCTTCATTTTTTTTCCTAAATTCTACCAATATGTTAAAGAAAGTAGAAGTGAAATATATTATGATTGATGGCATAAAAATATATTATTTAGATTAACAACATTAATGTTAAAATTTTTGGAATTTCAGTGGTATGTTGATGTAGTCTTTAAAATAATTAGGTTTACCATACAAAAAGGCCTAGCGACGCATCTTGTTGCCCGTTTGCAATCTCACTCGTTGTACGATGATAATTAAATTATTGGAAAGCGCAATTGTGATTAAAAAAAATATTTTTTGATAATTATTTGTTGTAATGATAAAAAACACATTATACCTTATCTAAACCTGAAATGTCTATTTTGGAGATGGTAAATATTTTAGTAAAAACTCAAAAGTTTAGTCAGTCCTCTTGTGATCATTTTTGTATTTTTATAAAATTACACTTATTATTAAGTATTATTCATCCCTAAACATATTGTTGTAACATGTAGACTCATAAAACTTTTTTATTTTACTTTAATGTCTTAAAAGACATTTGTACATACTTTAAGGATGACAATTCCAAGTACATTGACAAACACCATGGGGCATGCACTGGCCTTTAGCGAGAACCCCTCTACTACTTCTGCATAACACTTCACATAATATTGTTTTACAAAAAAGAATATGCCATGTGGCTTGACACTGTTCACCATTGATCATATGTGTCCCTAAATCATATGTAAGCAGAATAACATCGATTAACAAATCAATTAAGAATCATAAGTAAACAAAAATCTGTAGTTTTAGTGGTAAGTCAGTGTAATGAAATATAACTAAGCTACTACTATAATCAACAATTTTTATTATATATCGTATAAAGATTACCAACAATAGCGAGTATGATCACAAGAGCAACAGATAGCTTGATGGACGCCATACTTTGTAATTTACTGATAGTCTATATAATGGAAGTATGTTGACCAAATGGTTCAAGCATTGTAAATTTATAGGAAGAAGTTAATTGCATACATAGGATGCATTAAAACATGTGCCATTTAATTCACAATAAATATATTTAGTTGGTTGTTGGTAGCCACCAATTATTGTTGAAATCTAGAAACAACATTTGATCACATGAACGCATGAACCCATATCAATGAAAGTCAATCATCTATCCGTTTACGTAAGTTTTAATTACTTGTTTTGGAAAAATCTTTACCATTAGAGTTTTCCAATCATGTACATTGAGATTTATCTGAAGATGATGAACTTTTTTTCTTATTGTGACAACGAGATGGAAACAAAGGATGACATTTTCATTAGATATGTAGTCGTGAGCCTGGTTTGGGTATTTATGTCTGTATAAAAGATTGAACTTTGCCCAAACCTCTATTTAGTATTTCTCGAAAATTGTATTTAAACACATACAAATTTAACATAACAAAATTCTATAAAAAGTAAGTGTATTATATTTGAAATGAATATAATCTCTTAGTTTCATTGTACTGATTCAATGCCCTCAAGTGTATGGGATGGTGTAAGGTACTTAGATGGAGGTCCGATGGTGTTAGAAGAGCAATATGTATAGTTTAATAGCAGAGTAAAATAACATATCACTTTCTATGTCTAAATTTTTATGGATTTAAACTTTGCGTTTTTATTGGAATAAAAGCTCCACTAATGAGTGATAATGTGCGATTATATTTTTTTCACATAATTTGCACTTATTTTTTTTTTCAAATTCAAATAAATTTTCTGTTTAATCCTTCGTATTTAACATTTTGTTTTAATCGTCCCGTATGGTAAACGGGTCTTACAATTGGTACGTTAATATGTGCACATGATAATGATAAGAAAAAGTCAGTTAATCCAAAATTTGTGAAGAATCAATTTGATTATGGTTGGTATACTATTTTCTCCACTATTCATTAATTTTAGATGATTCAGATATTTAATTGTTTATCAATTTATGTTTGTATTTCTATCCTCCTTCGTTATGTTTTAAATACAATGTACATAAAATGTAAATACTAATTTTGGTTCAGATTCAGTTCAAGGAAGAAGGATAAAGTACAAATGTAATAGGATAGGGTAGGAATAGACGTAACAATCCATGTTCTCATGACTAGTATACGGGTCAGACACGAATTTACATGACTTAAATTTGTAAAAAACTAACAACAGACGAATTGTAAATCATTTTTTGGGTATCGAACATGAAACATGAATTTAAAATTCCGAATTTTACTAAATTGGTCTCTAAACATTCAGTAAATGTAAAGTTTACCCGCTAAACTTTGACGAATCTATACATGTATATACATCTTTATATGTGGCGCGTTTCACACGAATCAAATTTGAGTCTTATGTGTTAAAACATATATGTCACACCCCCAAACCGGAACGGCGGAAATGTTCGGGGGTGGATGACGTCATATGTAGTGTCACAATAATTGCATCATAGTAATCATAGTAAACACAACCATTACATTGAATACATATATGAAAAAGGTATTTACATCTGTTTGATTCATGTTTTTATACATCAAAAGTATACTCAAAAGAAAAAGACGTGACTCTATACGCTCCGTCTTCTCAAAACTCCAGAAGGTACCTGTCTACTGATTCCCTGAGAAAACAAGCAGTTTTGAAAGAGTATCAACATAAAGCTGGTGAGTTCATAAGCGATGTTTTTGTATTGAAAACCTGTTGATGACTCTGTAAAAATGTTCGTATGTTTCTAAGAAAATCCAATATTTTATTTAGTAAAAGTGTGATAATATCAGTTCCATCTATAACCACTTAGTTTCAAGCTAGCCACGTATAAACCAATATCGAACCGACAGTTGATTATGTGGATCTGCCCTAAGCCCACAACCAAACAGGGAACATGAAATGAGGCGGAAGCCACACATTCTACAGTCTATCGAATATTCAACATACGTAGCCCTGATGCCTAACTAATAAATTATAGAATTAACTATGACTGTTTGTTACTGTATCCTGTTGTAGTATAGGAAAAACGTTAGTTTGCATATCAATAGTATGTTCTGTTTGAAAACCCTGGCTACCACCAGTATAAATAGTATGTTCTGTTTGAAAACCCTGGCTACCACCAGTATGAATAGTATGTTCTGTTTGAAAACCTTTGCTACCACCAGTATGTATAGTAGTTTCATTACTTAAAATAATACTAATGAAGGATGAAATCCCGTAAACAAATGGTTAGTTTATACTATCGTGAGTTGTATAACCATGCTTGATATGACCTAGTGACCTTTACGACGTTCTTCAAGTGTCGGTTAAATGACATTAGTCACCCCAGGCATGCCTGCCTAACTGTAGCTAGCAGTTCAGGTGTGGGATTGTTAGTCCGGAATAGATCTATTTACAAATCTCACGCTCTCCCTCCAGGAGACTCTGGTTATACTATGATAGGATTTAACCTGTACCCCGAAGGGTACAATTGAAGTGTTGTCTCACAATCCTGTATTAACTAGTTTACGTGTGGTTCTGTGTTGTTCTATTGTATTTGAATCCATTATATACTGTATAAGGTAATAAGAATACTTAAATAATTATTAAATGTTGTACTCTTGTAGTAGTGTATATCATAAACTAAATCTGTCATAGTTTATATGTTACCCATGTATGTAATCTGAATCAGTAAAAGCTGTGTATTGAATTCCCAGACTATACCCATTATAGTTTGCTTGAAATGTTATGTACTTGGTTTGTAAATCGTTCTGAAAGTTATGCAATTATGTTTCCAAGATAAAAGTGTCCCTAATGCTCAACATAATACAAAAGGGATAAAATATCTAAATATTTTATAAAATGTGGAAATCGTTTGACTGTATCAATTGCATAAGTTTTAAACTTGTTAAAATCATTTGTGTTTGGCTCGTATTCCCCCCCTGAAAACATTAAAAATCATAAAAGCGTAGGGGGTATTAACTCACTGTTAGTTGTGTACAAGCGTCGAATCAACAGACTGAAATGGAGACCCTCGAGTTGTAGTGTGTGCCACTTAACGGAATCCTAATAACAATTAAATACATATATGTATCTAAATTAGCGATTTCGTTAGATAAATTGTTATGAAAACACTTGTTTTCGGTTAAGGAATGTTATCGGGACTTGATTGAATCGAGGAAAGTGGGTTTTCAGTCAAATGCACCACTTAGGAAGTGTTTACGGCCGTGAATGGGGTTTACGACCGTGAACTGTTTACGACCGTGAACTGCCTCTCGATGGGTGTACGGCCTTTGAAGGGTGTACGGCCGTGAACTGGTGTGCGGTGGATGGAGATTTGCATATTTAAAGGGTGTACGGTCGTACACTCAAGACCAAGGATGCTAGATTCGAGGTAAAACGTGCTCTAGATGCTCAGAAATGACTCCCAATGACGATTCTTGATGATTTTCGGAGGGATAAGGGTGTTTTTGGGGTGTACGGTCAACAGTTTTGAGAGAGAAGGAGAGAGTGTTCGGCAAGAAAAGTGCAAACGAGGGGTAGGGTCTCGTATTTATAGGGGTTTTCGTGGTCGGTGGTGGGGTCCACCCGACGCTGGCCGTAAACGAGTGTACGGCCGTACACGGGTTTACGACCGTAAACTCACTTGGGCCGAAAACCGTTTGATTTTTTTGAAGAAGTTTCGGGTTTTTTGCGCGATTTTTGGTTCCGAATCGCATATAAATTTAATTATACAAAACTAGATGATTTTCTAAACCAAGAAGTTTGACGGGAACTTAATAAAATTCAAATTTTATTAACGGAAATCAGTTAATGAAAACGGAAAAAGGTTCGGGTTGTCACATCATCCCCCCCCTTAGAGGGAATTTCGTACCGAAATTCAGACACTGAATACAAATCATGGACTCAGAAATAAATGAGGGTATTTCTGTTTCATTGAATCTTCGCGCTCCCAAGTGAATTCAGGTCCCTGCTTGGCATTCCAGCGAACCTTCACTATCGGGATACGGCTTTGTTTCGTTCGTTTGACTTCCCGATCCATGATTTCTACGGGTTCTTCCACATAGTGTAAGCTCTCGTCTAGTTCGATCTCATCGAGTGGTATCATAAGTGTCTTATCGGACAAACACTTCATTAGTTTCGACATGTGGAAGACAGGATGTACGTTGCTAAGTTCTTGTGGTAAACGAAGTTTGTATGCTACGGGACCGATCCTAGCGAGGATGTCGAATGGTCGAATGTATCTTGGATTCAGCTTTCCACGCTTTCCGAAGCGTATCATGCCTTTACAGGGTAAGAACTTCAATAGAACACGGTCACCAACCTGAAACTCCAAGGGTTTTCGTCTCTTATCGGCATAGCTCTTTTGTCTATCTCTTGAAGCTTTTAGTCGTTCCCGGATTTGTACGATCTTTTTAGTAGTCTCTCGGATGATTTCTGGGCCTGTGAGAGTGCTATCGGGGACTTGACCCTTGACTAGCTGCGTGTCACCCACCTCAGCCCAGCACAGAGGGGATCTGCACTTACGACCATAGAGGGCTTCGAACGGCGCAGCCTTGATGCTGGTATGGTAGCTGTTGTTGTAGGAAAATTCGACCAAGGGCAAATGAGTGTCCCACGACATGCCAAAGTCAATGACGCAGGCTGTCAACATATCTTCCAACGTTTAAATTGTTCTCTCACTCTACCCATCTGACTGCCAAAATCTCGAGGTGAACCTGCTATCTCGATCAGAGATAATGGATACGGGCACACCATGAAGGCAGACTATCTCTCAAATGTAGATTCGTGTCAGTCTCTCCATTTTGAAGTTTTCTTTGATTGGCAGGAAGTGGGCGGATTTAGTTAGTCGATCGACAATTACCCAGATGGCGTCGTGCCCACTCGGAGACTTGGGCAACTTAGTGATGAAATCCATGGTAATCCTTTCCCACTTCCACTCAGGTATTTCTGGCTGCTGGAGTAGACCTGAGGGCTTTTGATATTCCACCTTCACCTTGGCGCAAGTCAGG